CGCTGGACCTCAGCGTCCGGTCGTGCGATGAGCGCCACGAGTCATTGGCTTCAAACGCTGATCGCCCGATTTCAACGGCTACGTAGTTGACCGGACGCTCCGGTAAAACTGACAGGACGCTGAAGCCCCAGCGTCCGGTCATTTCCAGTAAGCTCCCCGAGGCGTATTTCTTCGACCGGACGCGTCCGGTCCACCTTGACCGGACACAGAACAGCATTCGGTGCAATACCCTCGGTACTGCGCAGACCCGTCAGTTTGACCGGACACACGCTGCCAGGGTCCGGTGCTTTCAGACCCAGCGTCCGGTCAGTAGACCGACGCCAGCGTCTTCGCGATCAACTCGTTTTTACTTCTAACTTCTTCACCCTTGCTCCAATGTGCCAACCACAAGAATTTGCATCCAGCGCAATAGAAAATAGGCATTCCATTTTCCCGAAAGCGCCGAATCCAACCCATCTCAACCCTGCAAACACCACCTCCTTTATAAATGTGCCAACACCACCAAGTGTATCACCTTGTGCACAAGTGTTAGCATATTTTCACAAACATTTTCAAGGGTGTTAGCACTCCACTAGATCCTAAATACATATGCAATGAGTTAGAGCATCTAGTGGCACTTTGATAACCGCATTTCGTTACGAGTTTCATCCCTCTTAATAGTACGGCTATCGAACATAAATGTGATCACACTCGTTAAGTGTCTTGATCACCAAAACAAAATAGCTCCTATGGTTTATACATTTGCCTTGAGCTTTTTGTTTTTCCCTTTCTTCTTTCCAAGTCCAAGCACTTGATCATCATCATGGTATCATCATCATCATGCTATGATCTTCATTTGCTTCATCACTTGAAGTGTGCTACCTATCTCATGATCACTTGATAAACTAGGTTAGCACTTAAGGTTTCATCAATTCACCAAAACCAAACTAGAGCTTTCAACTGGCGCACCGCGACACTGTGGAGGCGGAGCTGCACGCTGTGAGTGTGGAGGAGCCCAGGTCGCTGAAGGAGGCTGACGGTGACCCAAACTGGGTTGCTGCGATGGAGGAGGAGCTGTCATCAATCCGTGAAAACAAGACATGGTCGCTGGTCGAGCTCCCGCATGGTCACCGCGCCATCGACTTGAAGTGGGTGTACAAGGTTAAACGCGACGAGAACGGCGACATCGTGAAGTACAAGGCGCGTCTCGTCGCCAAGGGCTACGTCCAACGTCCCGGCGTCGACTTTGAGGAGGTTTTCGCGCCCGTCGGAAGACTGGAGTCGGTGCGGCTGCTACTCGCCATCACGGCGCACTACGGCTGGGGCGTCCACCACATGGACGTCAAGTCGGCGTTCTTGAATGCCGATCTCCAGGAGGAGGTTTACGTTCAGCAACCTCCTGGGTTCGTCGACGACAAGCACAAGTACAAGGTGCTTCGACTCCACAAGGCGTTGTACGGGCTGCGCCAAGCTCCACGCGCCTAGAATCAGAAGCTGGACGCCGAGCTGATCACCCTCAGGTTCACGCGCTGCGTCGACGAGCACGGAATGTACACCCGCGGCAAGGGAGGTGGCCGTCTGATCGTGGGCGTGTACGTCGACGATCTAGTCATCACGGGAGGTGATGTAGGTGTAGTGACAAAGTTCAAGGCGCAGATGAAAAACATCTTCAAGATGAGTGATCTTGGGCTCCTCTCTTATTATCTTGGGCTTGATGTTGTTCAGGGAGCCCATGGTATCACACTTCGTCAGAGCGCCTACGCCACCAAAATCCTTGAGAAGGCTGGGCTGGCTGGCTGCAATGCCAGTGCCACGCCCATGGAGCCGAAGCTGAAGCTGCTCAAGGAAGGGACAATGCCGAGCGTGGATGCCATAGAGTACCACAGCCTTATCGGCAGCCTCAGGTATTTGTGTAACTCCAGGCCAGACTTGGCGTATCCGGTGGGATATCTTAGCCGGTTCATGGAGGCTCCGCGTCAAGAGCACCTTGCTACAGTCAAGCGTGTTCTCCGGTATGTGGCAGGGACACTGCATTGGGGCCTGCACTACCATCCGGGCAAGAAGAATGTAGGAGCGCCAAAGCTGCTGGGCTACTCCGATAGTGACTTGGCCGGAGATGTCAATGACCGGAAGAGCACCAGCGGCCTCATCTTCTTCCTGGTGGGAGGGCCGGTTGCTTGGCAATCGGCGAAACAGAAGGTGGTTGCTCTGTCTTCTTGCGAGGCAGAGTACATCGCGGCTGCTGCAGCCGCATGCGAGGCAGTTTGGCTGGCGCGGTTGCTGGCAGAGCTCGTCGGAGGAGCAGTCCTCGCACCCAGGCTCAAGGTGGACAACAAGTCCGCCATCGCTTTGATGAAGAACCCTGTACATCATGACCGGAGTAAGCACATTGATGTGAAGTTCCATTTCATCAGGGAATGCTGTGACAGGAAGCTGATCGACGTCGAGTTTGTCGGCATTGAGTTGCAGCTGGGCGACATCCTCACGAAGGCGCTCGGACGTAGTCGGTTCCAAGAGCTCCGTGGTGGCATCGGCATGAAGAAGCTAGTGTAGGCGCTCAAGGGCTTAGGAGGAGATTGTTTGAATAAGCCCTGAGCTCGCTGATCATAAAAGGCAGTTAGAGTCATTAGCGGCTAGGCATAGTATGCGGCATGTCCCAGGGTGTTGGGATGTCAACAGCCGATCACGAGCATGCCGTGATTTACTCAGTTTGTTTCTAACCATGTATGACTGCATGTATTTCTTTTATATAGAAATGAGAGACATCAGAAAACGCTGCCGCTTTGCAGCACCAAAATTCCCTGTGTCCACTTTGTGTTCGCGTGTGTTGTCTTCCTCCGTTCGGCGTTCTGTCAGCGGCGTAGTGGGTCTTGTCCGGGTGGACGAGGAGCGACAACCGCCAAAACTGCTTTTAGACGGCGTCCTGCATGGCGGCGGCGGCGGCGGCTCCTGGGCCTATGCCGAGGATCGCGCGCCAGCCGCCGGTGCCGCCGCACGCAGCGGCGCGGACGTGGACCTCGTACACCGCGAGCGCGTTGTCCACGCCCGGGAGCGACGGGCAGAGCCGCTTCGCCTTCTTGGCCTTTCTGTGCGCGTCGCGGATTTTGCCGGCGAGGAAGAGCTCCTCCTCCGCCGCCGCGAGCCGGTACGCCTTCTCAACTTTCTTCCTCGCGTTATACACCACCATGTGGGAATCTGCTGGATTGGATTGGTCTGGATGAACGGAGCCTTGTGCATGGCGAGCTCCTCCCCTTTCCTCCCTCACTGCGTGGTGATGGCCGGAGGTTGAAGAAAGATCTGACTTGTGGAGCCCGCGTGTCAGATGGGGGAGGGATAAGGGAGGGGGAGAACAAAGAAACTAAGGGTAGAACGGTCATTTTATCTAAGGCTGCTGACTCAATCTAAGCTGGACTGTGGTGCTGGCGTGCCACGCGAGCAAAAGTAACAAATGTGTATCGATTTTCTCTCTGCTGCTAAAATCGTATCGTCAATTCTAAAAATGATATTTGAGGAGTCGTCGTCCATCTGTTGCGATGGTAAAAAGTTAAATATCCGTTCCGTCAGCGGTCGCCGGTAAGCCGCAACCCAATCGCCGCGCGTCTCGCTCAACTGGGCATCTACTAACAGCCTGTTCGGGAGGCCGTATCATATCGTGGATTATTTACTGCTGGCTAGTTTGATGTGAGAGAAAAACATTGTCCCCGGCTGAAAATTTACGATCGTTTAGGACCCAGCGAACAGGCTTTGCACAGGCGCGGCGCCGGCGTGGGTACCTTCGGAGTTCGGACCCATGACTGGGTTATCGGTCGGGCCTACTCTACTAGCGAACTCTGCACTCTGCAGTAGCTCCTCTCTTGTCCCCGACGAGTCCACCACCAACACCCGCGCAGCGTGTCCTCGCCGCGCTCGCGTTGGGCGCTCGTTCCCGCTCGGCCGCGTGCGTTCCAAGCCCAGTGTTGTACGACGCATTGCCGGTCCCGGGGACCGGAGAACGCGGCGCTGGCGGCGCCGTCTCGGAAGCCGCGCGCTCAGGGTGTTCGTGGAAATGCCGCCGCCAGGACCCGTCACTTGAGGGCTCCATGGACGGATACGGTGGCTGTCGAATGCCTCGTGTGAATGGGCGCGTCGTGCAGGAGCAGGTCGAGGACGTTGGGTGCAGGGCCGCGTGCTGCAAGGACCTGGTCTCCTCGCCGGGTCAAACTTCTGCTTGCATGGTTACTAGGAGTACTTAGTACAGGTACAGTGGTACTTCGCATAGTCTAAATGTTGGTGGTACTACATATTACTTTGCTGCCACTCCATTTCATGCTTTATCCAGACATTTTTTTGCATTTACTCACTCTATATCCCCACTCCATTCCAGTGGTTTCAGAACTTTGTTCATCATAGCCAATAGCTGAGTGATCACAGTATCTAATGCATTAGTATCAGCACTTGAACTACGTAACAACTCAGCAAGCACATTTGTTTTTCACTTTCTTTTTTTTCAAAAGTAGTCCACAAACTGATCGAAGCATACATGTTAGTACTTCAAGAAAAAAAAAAAGAAGTAGGCGAGGAGTGACGAAGCTAGAGCAAATTAGAGAGGGTGCACTTGTCTTGTGGTTGCATGGACATGTATCTCAGAGATGCATATATGGTGAGATTTTAGATATAATCATATAATCACTGTTTTTATATTTTAGGGCGTGTGCATTTGCACCCCCTAATTAATACCTAGCTTCAGCCCTGGGGATGGGTACTTATCTTCGCCAAAATTTACATTTTATAATGTGCAAGAACTGTACAGAATGCACTGTAATACTAGCCAAACTCAAACTGGTACCTCTAGTGAAAAGTATATCTACTCTATTCACCTAACTGCAATATCATCATGTCTGGATGCTTACTGCATTATGTCTTGGCTGACTCTTGTCTCTGCAAGCCAGCATTGATGCTTTCCAGGCATAAGACTACTTCCATTATAGCTGGCCTCATGGAAGCGTTATGGTTCACACACTTACAAGCAACTTCAAGCATCATCAGCATTTGCTCTTCATGCCCTGTGCCACGGAGTGTTGGATCGAGGACTTCAATCTGCTTTCCTGAGACCTCATCTCCAGCACCCACAGGACAAGTTCTTTTGATGTTGACAGAACAGGAACAGGTCGCAATCCTGTGAGTAGCTCCAGTAGGACAACTCCGAAGCTGTATATATCACCTCTCAGAGTAGCCACCCACCCGTGCCCATACTCAGGTGGAATGTAACCAAGAGTGCCAACCAGCTCGGTCGTAACATGAGTTTTATTGGGCAATATCAATCTTGCCAGCCCAAAATCTGCCACATAAGCTTTGAATTCTTTGTCAAGCAGTATGTTGCTACATTTTATGTCACGATGGACAATGTGCGGCTTGCAGACATTATGGATGCAGGAAAGACCACGGCTTGCTCCTTGGGCAATTTTCAGCCTCATCGGCCAGTCAAGAAATGTGCTAGCATCATCATCCCTGTTGTGAAGCCAATCATCTAAACTGCCATTCTCCATAAAAAGAATATATGAGGAACCTAGAATTTCCATGGATGCAATAACCCCACAGTGGCACAAGATTTTCATGCTGGGCCATGGAGAGTGCTTCAACCTCAGCAGTGAACTCCCTTTCCATAAGGCACATTTCACTGTTGAGCTTCTTAATTGCAAGCTTGGATCCATCAGGTAGCTCGGCTTTGTAGACTAGACCGTAACCACCACACCCAATGATGTTCTCCTTGCTGAAGTTATTTGTAGATTTTACAATGTCAGAGAATGTGAGCTTGTTTTTGTCTCCCTTGCCTTGTGGCATCATGACCAGTTCATGCTCTGAGCTGGAATTGAATGAAGTCATTTCAACATCTCCACTATCCTCCCTTCTACTTTTCGCTGCTAAACACTTTACCCTGATTGAGACAAGGAGACGACCCAGCAACAGAAGAATGGCAATCCCTGCAAAGAACACGCCAAATGCAATTGCAATACTAACCATCTTCTTTTGTTCTTTTCTGGTGACTGGAGATGCTTGAGCTGAACTGCATTGATGGGCAAGCATAGAGCCACATAGCTTTGGATTCCCCTCAAAGCTAGAATTCTGAAATGTGCTAAACTGGCCACCAGTTGGAATAGGCCCTTCCAGGTTATTGTTAGAAATGTTGAAAGTGGAAAGGAAGTGCAGGTTCTCCAATGCAGCTGGGATTCTACCTGTGAGATTATTGTTGGACAAGTCTAGAGCCAGCAGGTTTGTGAGGTTGCAGATGGATGGGGGGGATTGGTCCTGTTAAGTTGTTTGAGCTGATATTGAGTGAAAGGAGGGCATTCAACTGACCGATCTCTTGGGGAATCACACCCGTGAATCTGTTACTGCTTAGATAAAGCACTTTAGGAAAAGCAATTGGTATGCGGTATTGAAGTGATGGACCATTATAAACTGTTAGATCAAAGATCCTTGGGTCCAAATGAGCTGCAGTCTTCTCTGAAGTTAGCATTGGCATATTCATTAATTCTTTTGGAATATCCCCTGTAAGCCTGTTGTTCGATAGGTCTAAATAGAAAAGATAGTCCAGGGTGTTTATCCAGGTTGGTATCGGTCCGCTTAGTCGATTGCCATGCAAAAACAGCATCTCCAATTTTACTATCTTTGATATCCAAAGAGGTACTTTCCCCAACAGTAGACAATTTTCGATGGCCAAAACCTGTAGATTCTCAAAACCATCAATGCTTTCATCATCTGGCATGGTCTCATTCATGAAGTTGGTCCCAATAAGAAGGGTGGTGAGGTTTATGGAGCTCTTTAGTATCTGAAGTGCATTTGTCAAATTCGTAAAACTGTTCCCCGTAAGTGAAAGGAATGAGAGTGATTTCAGATTGCCTAGTCCTTCTGATAATTGTCCATGGAACTTATTGTAAGCTAGCCGTAGCGCAGTCAGGTTTCTGCATGAGTATATGGTTTCTGGAATTTTGCCACTGAAGTTGTTCTCCCTAAGATCTAAGATTTTTAGATTGGGTAAGTTGGAGAAATTGACCTTGGTGAGTTCTCCACTGAAATTGTTGTTCCCGAGGTCGATGTTTGTGAGATTTGTGCAGTTGCTCAGGGTGGATGGCAGCTCCCCAGACATGCTGTTATAGCCCAAATGAAGTTCCTGCAATTTCTTGAGCTGAACTATGGAATCAGGTACCTTTCCGCTGAAATTATTATCTCCAAGATCAAGGATGACCAGATTAGTGAGTTCGGCAATATGTGTGCCCTCAAGTATTCCATGTAAACTGTTGCTGGAAAAGAGAGGTGCTCCAACAAGGTAGCATTGAAGAGTTCATCAGGAGAGTCCCACTGAGGTGGTTGTGGCCAGCCTTGAGCACTTTGAGCTTGGAGCAATTACCAAGCCCTGGGTGTATACTGCCACTGAGTTTGTTGTGACTGAGTTCAAGGATAGCAAGGTTTGGTGATATGTTACAGAAATGACTTGGAATCTGCCCAGTAAAGCTGTTGTTGCTGGCATTGAGCGCCACTAGATTCTCCATCCCTTCCATGTTGCGATTGTAAACTGCCCTGTAAACAAGTTGCTTGAGATGTTTAGTACCTTTAGAGGTTGGCCAGAGGTCGAAGATGGTAGTTCATGCAAGTCTCCACTGATCTGGTTAAAGCTGATGTCGAGGACAATGATACTGCTGGATGACACCAATTCCCGGGGCAGGTTACCGTACAGCGAATTGTAGGACAAGTTAAGATGCTGCAGGCTGGTGAGGTTTCCAAGAGACGTGATACTCCCTTCAAGGCCTCTAGATTGCAGAGAGACCTCAATGACCGTCTTGTTTTCATTGCAGGTGACCCCTTCCCATTTGCAGCAATCAGTGCCTTCTTGCCATGACTTGACGAGATCAGAATCCTTCGAGAGCCCAGCAAGGAACTGGAGGAGAGATGTCTTCTCCTGCTCCGTGCAAGAACTGATGGGGGTGGCCAAGGACAGCAGCAGCACAAGAGAAACGGCAAGGACAGGTAGGGGTAAACTAATGTTGTATTTCTTGTATGAAAAATGGAGTGGCTGCATGGCTGCCTATTGAAACTAGCATGGAAACCAAATGTTTAATAGTGCCCAATCTTGACAGAGTTATAATGGTCTAACCGGGGAAGAATATAAGGTAGAAGAAGGAAGAGGCTGCTGGTTCCATCTAGCTGATCCCTTCTAGTAGTGTCCACCACAAAGAAAAATAGAGGCAAGGATTAGATGGTACAACAAAGTCTTCATTATGATTCTATTATATGCAACAGAGAAATCAGCTCGCTTGTTCACATCTAGATGTTTCATTGGTGGCTACCTGCTATGGTCCACTAGGAATCCAACTGACGAAGCTTCCTGGCCGTACAAATATTTGCTTCTGTCCAGTCAACATGGATTCAATCCTTGCCCTTGTTTAGTTCGCGAAAAGTTTTCCCAAAAAGTGCTACAGTACCCGTCACATCGAATCTTGCGGTACGTGCATGGAGCATTAAATGTAGACGAAAATAAAAACTAATTGCACAGTTTGGTTGGAAATTGCGAGACGAACGTTTTGAGCCTAATTAGTCCATGATTGAACACTAATTACCAAATAAAAACGAAATTGCTACAGTAGCCAAATTTCGCACTTTTCGCGAACTAAACGCGCGCCTTGTTGAGTTTCTACAGTCTGCTGTGATTTACCATTTTACCTGGTTTGACATAATTTATGTTGCCACGTTCGTATAACCCCTCAATTGGCCCGATCTAAGGATCTGACCAGGGGCAGAGGCCCCCAAAAAAAAAAAAAGTGAGTAGTGGCTGCACTGAAATTTTTTGAATTTGACCAAATTTTGATAAAATTTGTATTGTTGGTCCCTCTAACAAAAAAAAAAACGCTTTTTTGGTTCTGTCTAAGACAAAAATAAATAAATTAGAATCACTAATCGATGCGCCCTTTTTGTTGAACGGGAAAAGTGAAAGCCACAATTGCCGAAGATCTGCAAGACCCGATTGGCCTGAGAGTATGCAAAGCGCGTGATTCCGAAAGACGCCTACAATTTAGAGCAATCATCGGGTTGATGGTCAAGGTGTGTACATGGTTTGGACTTAGGCGCAAGTGGAGCCGTGGAGGCAAGAAAAATAAGAAAGCAATTGAGGTGGTGGTGACAGGGCGAGGGCGACCTGGTGCCTGGTGCCTGGTGCCCTATTCTTCTGATGATGACTGGCTGATGCACATGCTGTTTTCCATAGTCCAGGTTCCAGAGGCGCATATGATGAACCTTTGGTCCTCGGCTGGTGTTGCTGACTGGAATTCAAAAGCGTTGGAATGGAAGTAACAGCCGTGGAGAGCGGGGAAGCTAGTGCTACTGTGAAGTGTGAACATGGCCTATCAAATTTATTCATTCAGGTGGTGATGCCAATAATCTCATGTATTTGTAATTGCCTCTGGTTGGGTTTACGTTTCACCAATAATTTAATAATTTACTTTTCCTCCGTTTTGGTTTATCTGTGTGTGGTCATCATGCAGCCTGTTCGCTTGCTCGTAAACGATCGTAAATTTCCAGCCGGGAACAGTGTTTTTTTCTCACACCAAACCAGCCAGCAGTAAATAATCCATGATACGATACGGCCTCCCGAACAGGCTGATAATTTTGCACTTCCCTCTGTTTGGGTTTACCTGTCACCAATAATTTACTGACCTACTGTAGAACAGTCAAAATCGCTAGGTAAAAAGGTGATGTCGAATAAACCCAAACGGAGGGGAAGTAATTTTTTATTGGTTGAGATATATATGTTGAAGGGCGGACCTGGTGCAAGCAGCAGAGTATTACCGCATATGATCAGAAGGTCCCGGATTCGAGTCGCGGTCTTCTTGCATTGCACAGGCGAAGGTAAGGCTTGCCACTGACACCCTTCTTTAAACCCCGCATAGAGCGGAAGCTCTCTGCACTGGGTATGCCTTTTGATGATTATGCTTACTTGGCTACAGTATGAGCGCAATTGCACATTTTATATTGGCTCTTAGTAGCTGTTGTATGATTATCTGTCGTCACGGGTCGCTGACTGTTTTCTCGTGGTGTTGCAGAACAGAACAGCATGTGGCTGGATGAGCTCAACAATCTGCTGAGCAGGCGGCGTTGCGTCCCAGTCCCTATTTATTTGTGCATATATTCTTGGTTTCTGTGTTCCTTGCATTTACGCTCAGTTTGTTTATTTCCTCAGACTGTGTTTAGTTCGTGAATTTTGGGAATTTGGCTACTGTAGCACTTTCATTTTTATTTGTCAATTAGTGTTCAATCATGGACTAATTAGGCTCAAAACGTTCATCTCGCAATTTCTCACTAAACTGTGTAATTAACTTTTTTTCGTCTATATTTCATGCTCCATGCACGTATCGTAAGATTCGATGTATAACTACTGTAGCACTTTTTAGGAATTTAGTTGGGAACTAAACAAGGCCTCAAACACATCTATCAGCTATTCCGGTTGAAAGGCAATTGGAGGGACCTGGGAGATTGGGAGATGGAGCGAGGGGCTGGCGTACGTGTGCCGGCTTGGACTCTGCTTGCTGGCTTGCTGGAGTGCAGCCAGACGGCCCGGCCGCTGTGCTCCACGGACCACGGCTGGCAAGGCAGTACGCGTCCAGGGTCCAACGAGCGGCACGCGCGTGAGTGGACGCGGTCTGGTCAGCGCCCCGCCCTCAACTGACGACTGCCAAACCGGCGGGCGGGCGGCGGCGACGCGACACATGTCAGAAGACGCGTTGTCGCACGTCCGTCAGCCAGGCCTCATTTAGATTGCAAATTTTTACAATCTGGACACTATAGCACGTTTCGTTTATATTTGACAAACTTTGTCCGATCATGGACTAACTAGGCTCAAGATTCGTCTCGTGATTTACAACCAAACTATGTAATTAGTTATTTTTTTATCTACATTTAATGCTCCATGCATGCGTCCAAAAATTAATGTGATGGAGAGAGAGTGAAAAAACTTTGAACCAATCTAAATGAGGCCCCAGCTTTGTTTAGTTCGTCTATCTAAAGTTTACTCCTTTCATCTCAGAAAAAAATTCATTTTAGAATTTAAATTTTGTCTTAGGCCTTGTTTAGATTCTAAGTTTTTTCACTCTTTCTCCATCACATTAAATCTTTGGATACATACATGGTGTATTAAATGTAGATAAAAAAATAACTAATTATACAGTTTAATTGTAAATTACGA